AGGTTGTGTCTGCCACGGGTCAATTGATAGCGGCCTGATATACATTGAAAGATAGAGTCTGAGTTTACTCAATAGTTAAAGATCTTCTCAATGTTCCTTCCCAAACTCCGCACCGTGGATCATCAATTTTCGATGATGTCGTTTCTACCCCGCTTGAACATCTTCTTACTGAACCGTGATGCTGGAGTTGTTGGTATATGAGACAGTTGCACATCCAGTTATTCGCACCATAAAAATTTACTCGCTTCATCTTATACAACCTGATCTATCGTCTTGTTCTTTCCATCCGTCCACACCTTCCTCATTTCGGCATCTATTCTCTTGCATTAACATTCATAAAAATCAACCTGAAACCTCCGTGGCCCAAAACCTCACCAAACGGGAACCAGTATCAGATGAACCACGTCAATAGTTCTCTACATGAAACAGATGGAACTGATATTCCTTGTACTTCGCATTTATTATTGACATTACTCTACCATCCTAAGTCGAGAATAGTGTACATTTTTAACTGAAATAGAAGCATGTATAATTCCACGTTATCCGAATAGAATAAAATACAAAATACAAAATTACACATAAGATTTGTCTTCTGTTCAAGGTTCCATCCAAATTTCATCACAATTTCCCCTTACGAGTCCGTCAATCACAAAAATTGAATGGCAAAATCATACAGGATATTAAACAAGACCGATAAGCTTGGGAAACATAGTAGAGGTCACCCACGAACGTTTGTCTTCATTGACGTGCCACAAATTATTTTGTGTTCAGCTGTGCAATTACCGTCGACGACGGCGCCCTTGCATTCACGCAAATGACTTTAAAATCACTCCATTAAATCCATTCATTTGGCTTCAGAAACTCAAACAAACCAGCGGTCAAAGCATGCTCATTGTCTGCATCATCGTAATTTGTGGGTAATTGTGAAAATGAAAAAAAACTCACATGGCCAGTCGATCTCTTGTGCCACGAGAGCACGATACCACTTTTGCTTGCATGTTCGTGGGATGACAAGCGAGATCAGCTGAGCGTCACGGGACCACTTTGAGCGGAGCACTTGATGGCCCAGTTTGGTTGTACCGGTCGCACACGTCCATTGAGTGATACCTCAATCTGGAAGAATTGCAAACAACCCTCATTCAGTTTCCAGATGGTAGCTTCGAACAGAAATGTTATTTCAACTCGAGCTATCTAAATGCATAACAACTCGTGGTTGTTGACTGCATTTACAGAATCATTAATACCATGTCTCAAGTGTGTCACAGTTCCTTTCTTACCACCACCTCAGAAGGTCAAATACGACCAGTTTTGCGAAGCAAATACGAGCATTAACTCAGCGAGCATGGTGATACCCATAGAAATCGGAATCATCAAACTGTTCATCGTCCTCCGTTAGCATAAATCATCCGGGAACTAGGTCTCACCAGTTAAAGGATTACATCGCGTAAATTGTGCTTCGAAATGCATCAGCTTGCAAGTTTTCTCGTGGGTAACTGTTCAACTAAGATACCACTAAATCAAAATCATCACATGAGGTGACGATATATTTCACGGTATCGTACGATTTTACTCCAAACACTTACCAGCTCGTCATACCACACATGGAATCAGTATCCCGTTGAGAAAGAATTGATTAGAAAACTGTAAATTTGATTCACCAGGCAATCGAAACAACAATCAGTCGGAATCCTCCACATAGAAGGAATCAAGAGAGAGCAAACAATTTCATATCAAAACATCGTAAAACTGGAGACATTTTCACAAATCTTTATCCCATTATCAAACACATCCAACATGCTGGCATCCATTCGATTTAGGATTCATAATGTTGCAGGTCTTCGGCAATGCCACAACAATTACTATTTCGACTAAGCCGATTTCAGTTTCCTTGTTGTATTTTGCAATAAGCTGCAACTAACCTTGGTGGTTCCTATTTGAACGTGCACCAACGCGATTGATTTGTACCCATCTTTAGCTTTGTCAGATAATCAACTTTGAACTTGGTGACAAAGGAAGGGTGAATAGACCGACAAATGTCACCATAACTATGAGAATTTTGAAGAACGTTCCGATTCCCTTTTCATTGTGGATCGCTTGTCAGCGTTCACCGATATCAAAGATTGCTGTATGCAACCTCAGTTATATTCAGAGCGAATACGCGGAAAACTTGCACACCGCGTTAAATTGTGTTAAGCCAAGCGGCAAATTCGATGTTATTGCGATGAATAAATTGTAATT